TCAGCTATGGTCAGTCAGATGAGATGGGTCATGGCTTGGGCAACTGACAGAACATACAAGATCTATAAGCCTTGTATGTTATTCTCCTGATAGGATAAGGGGAAGGGGGTTGGGGTTAAAATAAGTTTAAGATAGATAATGAGTAATAATTAATGTATAGCAGAAGGAGGTTGTGAAGGACACAGAAACCCATTTTTGGTTGAAGTCACAATGACCTGGTGAAATAGATAATTTTATAAGAAACACCTGCAGATGTTTGTAAGAAGTTAACCAGTTTCTTTGTTTAAGCTGTCACGTTGTGAAGGACACAGAAACCCATTTTTGGTTGAAGTCACAATGACCTGGTGAAATAGATAATTTTATAAGAAACACCTGCAGATGTTTGTAAGAAGTTAACCAGTTTCTTTGTTTAAGCTGTCACATGGATCCTGCGAAGAAGAAGTATATAAGCTATGTAAAATCCATAATCAGGACTCCCTCCATTAGCTGGGAGTCTCCAATTTGTTTAGAGCTCTAAAATAAAGTGGATAGAAAAAGTCTGATTTTCGTCGTGTTCTGTTCACCTTGCACCAAGTCCTGAACCTGGTAATTAGGGTCGATTGGCTGGACCCAAACAGTACCTTTGTAGCACAAGATTTGAAGGACTACACTACATCAATTCAACCTCAGTATTTCAAAAAAGGGTTGGATCTCATTAGTGCTGGAATGAGACACCATGAGAACAATCCAGACTGCAGGGTTAAGAAAATATCCTCAATGGAACATACATAATAACAGACACTTTCTATATTATAGCCAAGAAAACTCCATGATGTAGTCATGAAGCCAACAAACTCAAGTTTGACTCCAAGGAGTCTGCATTATAAGTCTAGCCTGGCCATAAATCTTTGTAATGAGAAGCACTTTTAAATTCGATTTTTGCTTTCATATACACACACAGCATCAGGAGGAGAGAGGCTGAAACTTGTTTTTATACTTCATATTTATATGGAAGCAAAAGGATTTAGTAATGCAGGAGTACTTAACACCCAAATACTTGTGCAGAGGATACAGCCCAATTACATAATCTTTTCTGAATTCAATCTGAAATAAGTACTTTAAGATCAGTGGGCTTTATGCAGACGGAAATGAAATAAATATCAGAGTGCACATTGCATAAAATAAGTGATAATGTTTTTATTTTCAGTTCAGTCTTATTTAATCTGACATTAGTTTATTTTGTGTGCTCTAGTGCAGTGTTTTTCAACCTTCTCCACTTTAAGATGTGTGAACTTCAACTCCCAGAATTCCCCAGCCAGCATGGC